GCCATTTGGTCTTGGCCCCCTGGGCACGCTGCTGGCTCAGGTTCAGTCACTGCTGACCAGAGCCCCCAGGTCCCTTTCTGCCTGGGCACTGTGCAGCCACTCTGTCCCCAGCCTGTAGTGCTGCAGGGGCTGTTGTGGCCAAAGTGCAGGACTGGGCACTTGGACTTGTTAAACTTCATCTTGTTAGACTCTGCCCATCCATCCAACCATTCCAGCTCTCTGCAGAGCCCTCCTACCTTCCAGCAGATCGACACACACTCCCAGCTTGGTGTCATCTGCAGATTTACTAATGAAAGACTCCATCCCCTCCTTATCCATGTCATCAGTAAAGATATTGACCAGAGCTGGCCCCAGCACAGAGCCCCCAGGGACAGCACTGGTGCCTGGCCCCAGCCGGATGCAGCACCATTCACCAGCACCCTCTGGGCCCGGCCATGCAGCCAGTTCTGAACCCAGCACAGAGTGCTCCTGTCCAAGCCACGGGCTGCCAGCTTATCTAGGAGTATGCTGTGGGAGACAGTGTCAAAGGCCTTGCTGGAGTCCAAACAGACACATCCACAGCCTTTCCTGCATCCACCAGCAGGGTCACCTGGTCATAAAAGGAGACCAGGTTGGTCAAGCACGACCTACCCCTCCTAAACCCCTGCTGGCTGGGTCTGATACCCTGGCCATGCTGGAAGTGCTGGGTGATGACACTAAGTATAAACTGTTCCATTTCCTTACTGGGTACTGAGGTCAGGCTGACTGGCCTGTAATTACCAGGATCCTCCTTTGCACCCTTGTTGTGAATGGGTACCACATTGGCCAGCTTCCAGTCATCTGGAACCTCCCCAGTGAGCCAGGACTGTTGGTAAATGATGGAGAGCGGCTTGGCAAGCTCATCTGCCAGCTCTCTCATCACCCTGGGGTGGATCCCATCTAGGCCCATGGATTTATGAATATCCAAGCAGCTCAGAAGTTCTCTGACTACCTCCTCTTGGATAATGGGGGGACCATCCTGTTCCTTGGCACCATCTATCAACCCAAGAGGGCAGTTGTCCTGGGGACAAGCTGTCTTCCCACTAAAGACTGAGGCAAAGAAGGTGTTAAGCACTTCTGCCTTCTCCTCACCTGCAGTCCCTAAGTTCCCTCTCTCATCCAGTAAAGAACCAAGGTTTGTCTTACCCTTCCTTTTACCATTAATATATTTGTAAAAACATTTTTTATTATCCTTTACAGAAGTCACCATTTTAAGTTCAAACTGAGCTTTGGCCTCCCTAATTTTTTTCCTACATGCTCTAGCAGCCCCCTTAAGTATTTCCTGAGAGCCCTGAGCCTCCTTCCAAAGATGATACATCCTCCTTTTATTCCTAAGTTCCTTCAAAACCTCGTTGCCCATCCAGGCTGGATGTTTCCCTCATTGTCTCATATTTCGGCACACAGGGACAGTCTGCTCCTGTGCCCTCAAGATCTCTGTTTTGAGGCATGCCCACCTTTCCTGAACTCCTTTGTTTTTAAGGGCTGCTTCCTAAGGAAATCTCTGAATAAGTTTCCTAAGTAGGTCAAAGTCTGCCTTCCAGAAGTCCAGTGTAAGAATCTTATTGATATTCCTCCTCATTTCACCAAATATTGAGAACTCTATTATTTCATGATCACTCTGTCCCAAGCGTCCTCCAACCACCACATCTCCCACCAGCCCATCTCTATTTGCAAACAGCAGATCTAACATAGTTGCTCCCCTGGTGGGCCCACCCACCAATTGTGACAAAAAGGTGTCCTCCATACACTCTAAGAATTTCCAGGACTGCCTTTTTTCTGCTGTATTGAGTTCCCAGCAGATGTGTGGTAGGTTGAAGTCACCTACGAGAACAAGGGCTGATGATCCTGAAACAGTACCTAGCTGCTTATAGAATGAGTTGTCCACCTCCTCTTCCTGGCTGGGTGGATGATAACAGACTCCCAGTAGGGTGTCAGCCTTGTTGGCCTCCCCCCTAATTCTCACCCATAGGGACTCAACTCCATCCTCATTGGTTTCAATACCCATGGTGTCAAAAGCCTCTGTAGTATAAAGGGCCACCCCTCCACCTCTTCTCCCTTTCCTGTCTCTGCTGGAGCTTGTAGCCACCCACTGCAGCGCTCCAGCCATGTGAGTCATCCCACCACGTTTCTGTGATGGCAGTGACATCACAGCTCTGCTGCTGGACCATGGCCTCCAGCTCTTCTTGTTTGTTACCCATGCTGCGTGCACTGGTATCCATGCACCTCAGCTGGGCTGCTGATTTCACCCCTAACTCAGGCTTACCACCCTTGGGCCTGCTTCCAGACAGCCCAGCTGCATCCCCTTCCCCATTCAGACCTAGTTTAAAGCCCTCTCAACAAGGAAATCACATATCCTCTGAACAGAGGGAGACACGGCTCTCCCAGGATTTTCCTGGTAACATGTAAGAAGCTGTGAGAAAGCTCAGAGAAAGAATTAAAGCAATTATTAACTTAATCTCTGCACCAGGCAGGCAATCTCTGTTTGTCAAAGATGTTTACAAGAAGGAGTTATCCCTTCTTGACTAATAGGTGAGAGAAGTTTCCTAAAGGCCAATCAGGCCTTAGATCCACCATTGTTTCTGTAAGAACTGTGGATTTCTAATAATAAAGTGCTTTTCATGCCTTCTGATGATGGAGTTTCTGTATCACCTTTGGCTGTCCCCAATACCTTCAGTGACATGGGACAGCTGGAGCAGCCTAGGAGCCAGGTACAGGAGACAAAGACATGGCAAAGAAGTGATTGACAACTCTGCCATGAAGAGTGCAAGCCTTGTTCTTGGCAGCCCAAGCACCAAGGCGAGGGCCCTGGAGTGGCCCTGGGACAGACCCAGTGCTGGCAGTGAGGCTGTGAGCATTGCAAACAGGGACAGTGGCACTGACTGGCGGCACAGGGGACAGCCTGGAGCACAGAGAGAAGCACTGGGGGAAAGACAGAAACGTTAATCCTTGTAGGGGAGCTACAACTAAATTTAAACATAGAGAACTGTGGGTACTGGAGAATTTTTCTCAGTTTTCTGACATGTGGGAGAAGTCTTAATTCCAGCACTACTGTTACAGATTAAGAACCACAACAGTCAGAACTATCCTGTCTCAGTTGTAAAACCAACTGACAAAGCAGAACATTCTGTAGTTTCAATCTTCTTTCTACAAAGGACATTTCTGTATCTACACCACACCAAAGCTTCTGTACCACCAATAAACTTGGCATCAAGAGAGTCTTACTCAGAAATTGGATCTTCATTGATTTCCCTTTATTAAAACAACGTTGCTGCTACATTCTGTCTTCAGTCATGGGGGAGTGAGAGAAAAACATGAGCATTGGGGAAATTTGGTAGCTGTATTTGACAAGTGAGCATCAACTGGAATTATTACAGTGAATAATTGCAGGTATGAGAACTGTGAAGAAAAGGTGAGGGAAACACAATTTTTTCCTCAAATATACTTCAATTAATCTTTTTAATACCCTAACAGTTTGCATATTATGTGCATGTTTAGACTGTAAACTATAACTCTAATTTAAACTTCTTGTTTTGTGTGCTTTTGTTATTTGTCTTTTCAAGGATCACTCTTTTCCAGAATTCTACCTTCTTTTCTTTCAACTTTCTGTCTTTCTTTTGTTGTAGATTTATCTGCAAGTATTCTTCATTTAGATTGTAAGATGGCCATTCAACCAGACCCTCTCCATTAGGATTTCTGTAAGCAAGAGGAAAGGAGAGTGAGTGCCCATTTCAGCCACAGGGGAATTCAATCACACAAGTTAAGACTGAATCAATAAATCAGCCAATTCCCCATGGAGTCAGTGCAAAGCAGCAATATCTGTCATGAATTTCATGATTCTTACCCATTTCGAGCAAAGTTAGCCCAGTACTTCATTAGAGTTCTGCTGAGGTTCTTCTCTTCCTCTGTAACTTCACCTGAAAGACAAAATACAGAATAGTTACTCTGTGTGGCAGCAATCAGGACATTGCTACTACAGCAGCAGCATTTCCCTGTGTGAATATGCTGGCAATTGGGAAGTGTGGGAATTGCAGCAGAAACCCACCACCGGCCAACATCACTACTACAGCAAGCATCAGGGATTTCAGCACTCCTCATTAATGACTTCAGCATCACTACCCTACTGCAGAAATCAGGGAACTTGGGAACAAGGAAATAAGGTGATGTGCCTTAACCTTCCAGGAAATCAGAGCAGAACCAAAAAACCCCCGTGTGTCCTGCATCCCAGCACTACTCCAGGATGGGTCACGTGGCTGTGCTTCCTGGATCCCATTCTAGTTTTGTGGGACTGAAATTCTCCCTATTATTCAGAGCATGACTAGGCAAAGATTTCTTCATTCTCACACAAGATGGTGCACTCCATTTCTCAGCACTGCAAGAGTATTTCTTTAAATATAGTTACACATAAGCTCACTGTATTACTAGAGAATTATTTCAGATCCTGTGTGTTTTTAATTATAAATGCATCTCAATACACTAAGAAAAATGTTTGGTATCTTAAAGCCCTTGATAAATTTAGGCAAAGAGGAAAAGAACTGTTCAGTGTTTCCTAGTGCCAAAGGTACCTAAGTAAAAAAAAAAAAAAAAAAAGGAAAAGGCTCCGGTAACAGATTAACAAAGGGCTTTACAACATAGCTGGATTGCTCCAAAGTTCAATGAAGTAAAAGGAAATACTTTCACTTATGTAGGCTTTGACCAGACTATGAACTATTATACAAATCACAAAAATAAAAGCAGAAAAAAAATAGTGAATTCACTTTAAAAAAGCAGAATTTTTGTGTCTCCGTCAAAATAAGAACTGTTCCTAATCTGTTCCACAGGAAAGAAAATACTTCATGCTGAGTATTACTGTCTTAGGCATAGGTATTTAAAGGATATTGTGGATTAATAATGTTTCTTAGGAAGTGGCATCATGTTTCTTAACAGTTCAGTGATTGGCAGATTCACTGGGGATATAAAAATGTGGGATTCTGTCAGAAGGAACTTCCACAATCCCATGGAAATTTTGAGAGTACACCCTTAATCCTCCCTCAGTGGACTGGTTCCATTAGAATAAATGCTCAAGTATTAATTGAATTGTGAGGCAAAACAGACCTAACCATTGGATCTTCACACAGAAAATGAAACACTGGAATTCTGAGCCTTGCTCTGAACATGGCTGGAATCAGTTCCTGCAAAAGAAACCAAGTCCCCCATTCTCTGGAGCCTGACAGCCCATGGGATTTTCTGAAGGGAGGAGGCACTGCCTAAACTCCTCAGGAAAAGAAGAGATCTGGGATTTCCTGCTTCCCAAGCACTCAGCAAGTTTAATTGACCTTTCCTTCAATTTCATTTTCAGCCAAAGCCATTTGGCAAATTCATGCACAGTGCTGGGATAATTACAGTGAATTTTCTAGCAAATATCTTGTTTGCTGAATTGCTGACAAGATGTGGAACTGACTGTGCTTCAGACCAAGCAAACTGTAAAGGAGAGAAGATGGAGAAGATGGTTAAATGCATAAAACCAATTCTGCCAGGAGAAAGGGCTATGGCTTGGTCTCACTGCCAATATATGCACCTTAATCTGATGAAAATTAATAGAACACTGAATAGAAAAATGCCAGGGCTACAGGACTCATTCATGAGTGAATGGTGTCTGTTCCTTACTGCGGAGCTGGATGTCCCCAGCCAGAAATGGCCCCCCAAAGACAAAACCAACTTCATCCCCGTGGTCAGCCTTCACATAGTCGGGTTTGCTGTCCCAGTATGCACTGGCCCGGTGCTGGAACTCGAAGAAGTAGGTAGGAGCTCCAGACTCTGCAAGACATAACATATAGGGAGTTACAGAAGAGACACATAAACTTCAGCTCTCATCAGCTGTTCAAAATATTGCTTTAGAAAGAGCTTTATATTGGGCACATTTCTAGTGTAATTGTTACATTCAAATGTGTAGTTTCACTTTTAATGCAAAATTAAGAGCTCAGCACTTACACACACAAAAAAAAAAAAAAAAAAGGAAGATCCACCCTAAGATAACATACAGAAAACAAAGTATCAAATTATTTCCACTTTTGAGTATCTTGGCATGGCTTGTCTACACCTACACACCAGAAAATTTACAGACCACAGAGCTGCTGACTTCCCAAGCAGCCATGGGCCAAAGGACAAAGGTTGCTTTGATATGTTTTAATTTTTAAGCCTGTACCCTTCAGTTAGCAAATATTTACCTGTGTTATCATGCTCTGCACTCTATATATTGTGATTATGAGCCTGCTTACACAGAGATAAGGGACTGCACACAACCCTGCAGACCTGTATCATTCCTCATGTTTCCAGTGGGAATGTCAAGAAGGGCTGCCTACGTATGACAGGATTTGTGTCTGCATCATTTGATCCAGCCTGCAGTAGGAGGTTTGAGTGTCCCACTGCAGGTGATCAGCTCACCCCTGTGATAATTCAGTGCTTTAATGGCTGGCATGACAATTGCCATGTCCCCCAGCAGGTCCAGGAATCCGTCCCGTAGCTCTGCAGGGTCCTCTGTGTCTCCCAGATATTCATCTAAGATCATAGGCAGAAAATCTGAGGGTACATCCTAAGAGACAAGAAACAGACAAACAATCACTGTCTGAATTTGCAGCTAAAATTGCCATCTTTTAAACTTCAGAGATTCTGCAAAGGCACAAATGTCCAGGACAGCACCCATGTTGATGGGAAACAAAAGCTATTCATGCTTTTTGTGGGCAAAAATACCCAAACACACCAACCACCTCAGGTGAAATTAGCACCTGAGATTTATATGGGTTAAAACTCTAAAAGAATAAGTGTAGATCCAGCAATTTCTCCTGACAGTATCTTCAGCTTCTGTTTTCGTCAGGAGAAGAGAGATGGGAATCACAAAAGTAAATTCTCAGTCCTTGAAAGATCTATGGACCATTAGACAAGAGGACAAGGCCAATGGGATCTCCAAACACCGTGTAAATTTTCAGGGTTAGAATTTGCTGCTTGAAAGATACACCTCAAAACTAGGAGTGCAAAGTAACTACTTTAAAAGCTACATTTAATGTAAACATACTGAAAAATACACCTTGAAACTTCCTAAGTAGGAGATTAGCCATGAGATACCTTAAAATTAGGGAAGCTATTACAGTAATCCCAGTAATACAGTAAATATGCAGGATAAAAGTATTGTTTGAGGTCTAGAATGAAAAAGGCATTTTCCCAAATCCCAGGCCTGGCTCAATCCTATTTCTGTGTAATTCCATACACCCTGGTCCTGTCAACTTTGCTGGGATTCTCCCCAAAGCCTACCATGGCCTCAGCCCTCAGTAACACTATGACTCAAGCAGTGAGACCCAAATCTGTTACATACATGAAAAAGAAAACTCACTTCTCACATTAGATTAGAGCAGCAGTACTTACAATCATTGGTAGAAAAACCTCTACAGTTGAGGCAATTGATTTCCTATCTCCTATTTCCCTCAAACTTCTCATTTTTGATGTCTGTACAGACGAAAAAAACAATGTTATTAGCATACCATTCAATGTCTCCATTATTTTAAACATTGAAACTACATTATTCCATTAATTCTTACTACTGGTGTTTATTTTTAAAGCATCATATCACATGCAAAAGTGCAGCACAATGCAGCAGCTGTCTTGAAAAGCTTGTATTTACTGCAGTAAATGTTGTCTTGGTGAAGGTTTCTACATAAACCACTCCTAATACATAGTTTATTCTTAAATCAACATTAAGAAACTTGTAAGACTAGAAAATATGAGGGCAGAGTTGAAGCCAAAAGCTGCTTCTGTCTCACAGACTTATTTTCATTCTGTTGGGGGAGATCTTAAAAGTCACTGGCAGTCTGTCTCTAGTCCAATTGTTTGAGCCCTTTGAAATAAGGATAATGCAGTGTTCTTCCTCTTTTACAGCATTACATAAAACAATTTTTCTGTCTGCAAAATAAATTCAAACAGATTTCACTTTGCGTTGTTCTTCTGGGACTTACAACCAGCAACAGTTGCTTCATAGATTCAGAACAAATGCTTGGTAGTACACCAAAGAACCTGAATATTTAGGAAACAAAAGAAAGGAACAATAAAGGAGAGGACACAAATCCATCTCCTGCAGTTTTTGTGCACTGAGAGCATTTGCTCGTGTTTTGCAGTCACCCACTGACTAACCATGAGAAAGGAGAATGGGCTGGACACTGCATTGTCCCCTCACTGTGCCCCAGATGAGATTTTCAGATGAAAGCTCTTTCTGCAGGGTGGTAATGATACAGAGGGGAAGCTGGTCAAGGTGATCAGTGGCACATTTTTAAGCACACTGTGTATCAACCCTGACTACTGAGCCTTGTGAGGAAAGGATTGGCTTTACTTGTCTTTCCAGAATAAGTCCTTGAATGTTGCATTCTTTTTCCTCTCTCTGCTTGGATGAGGGATTAAAATTGTAGGATAAGAAAAGTGTACAAAACTGAAGCTCCAGCTGATGTGTGCATGCAGTTTAACTTGCAGGATGAAGCCTCTCTTACCCTCTTGTGACCCAGTGGTTCTGGGTCACTGCAGAGCCATGATGCAAGCAAGGTTTACCTTGTATACAGTTCCATCACTGCAAAGACTTGTCCTATCACTTAACACAAACATTAAACACACATTAAAAATAAAGAAGAGACATGAAATCACCGATCTAATATTCCAGCCAAATTCATTGTTGGTGACTCCTATCATGAACGGGACTGCATTGAATTCTTTTCCAGCCAATATCTCCTCAGGTGGCTTATGAAGAAACACTCCATCCAAAACTAAGGGTAGAAATGAGATTTCCTGAAGGAAGAGGAAAAAAAAAAAATCAAATTAGTTGTTAATAGTACTTCCAATTTGTTCCTTCAATCATGTAAACTTCCTCATTAAATGTCCTAAGTGCAAAAAAGGGCTTTAAGAAATTCAAGTATCTACAGCCACTGTAACATAAATTTAGTTTGGCACAGGAGTATAAAATGCAGGCCTGGCTGGGTCAAGGTATAGAGGAATGTAATGGGTTCCTGATTCTGTGCTGTTCTGACATTAAAGCATAGGGATGCTCAGACCTTGCTCACAACTTCACAGGTGCTGTGACACTGCCAAACTTCCAGAAAGAACTGATGTGTGAAATTACTTCAACTTTTAGGAAGTATTTTGACAAAAGATAAGCAAAATCAACTTTGGAACAGACCATCAATGAACTCTGATCAGAGGCTGAGCTAAAGCTTTGCAAGTGAGCCATTAAAAAGCTCTGCTGCCACGAAGTCTCACTTACCTTGCTGTTAAGGATTATGTGCTCTGCTTTCTGCTTCCTCAAGCAGTTCAGCAGGGAGAGGGAACTGCTTGTCTCACACTTGAAGATACTGGCAATTTTCTGAAAATTATCAACAAAGATAAGCACTGTTACAAAATCATTATCCATGCTGCTGTTAAGAGCTTGTTAGTGGCAGATTTAAGTGTGCTTGATAGATCTTTGAGTATTTTATTTTACTAGAAATGCTACAGTTTGATCACAAAGTGAAATCATTCTGGTGTACTTCTCTTTCTTGCTGTATTTCCATTCACTGTTTTTTCAGACTTTGCTGTAGAGATAATACAAGCTTGTAGCATAGACCAAATAAGGAAAGAAAATTCAGAAACATTTACATTATTATTGTCTGCCATTACAGGAAAAGCTATTAAAAGGCATTTATAGAAAGTGATTTTAAGTTTGGGTTTTTTTGTTGTTTTATATTTAATTAATTTACTTCACATAAAGGTATGTGAAGTTTTTATTGACCTAAAAGACTGTAGGTCAATAAAAAACTGACTTCTTCTGGATTCTTGTCAAACTTTCCATAATAAATGCCACAGTTACTGTACCAAGTACAGTGAGTATAAAAATGCACGTTTGCCTAGCTTGGCATGTGTGTGACTGAAATGCCTTTGTCAGCCCACAGGTGTTACAATCATACAGCTGTCCAATCTATTTCTAACACCAAACAGACCGAAACTCAACAGGCGTGCTGCAACAATAAACTGGATCAATTTTGTTGCACAGTATACAATGACATTTTCCCCTTTTCTCTTTTAAACAAATTATCACATAGAAGTATCCTTTAGATATCCATATATATCCTTTATCATCCCTTATATATCCTATGTAGATATTTAGTATCTTTCTATCTATAGAAAAAGCCTATTTTAGGCTATAAAGACTTTAAAATGCAAAAAAAAGATGAGCTTACCTCAAGATCTGTTGAAAGACGTAAATCTTTACTGGGGGGAATTATAATTCCACTCTCTGATATTGCTTTATGAAAGAGACCCTTAGATAAAGGAGATAAAACCTGCCAAGAAAGGAAGAAGTATTTATTCTACATTAACATCCTTACCGTACAACTTTATGCTAGTTATAGTCTATTAACTCCTGGATTCAGTTGGGAATTATACATCTTTATTTGCTAAATCTCCAGATTTAGCCCGATGTGCTGTTAAACTTACTGTCAAAAACTAGATTAAGCGTGAAATGTAACATTAATTGAGCTTTTGAATATTTCTATTTTTATGTACTATATACCTACATGTGCAAAAACAGAGCAAGATCCTGCAGATATCCCAAAGAGAGTGACAGAAGCCGGGTCTCCACCGAAGTGCTCAATATTGTGAAATGTAACATTAATTAATTTACATTAATGTAAATTGAGCTTTTGAAGATTTCTATTTTTATGTACTATATACCTACATGTGCAAAAACAGAGCAAGATCCTGCAGATATCCCAAAGAGAGTGACAGAAGCCGGGTCTCCACCGAAGTGCTCAATATTTCCTTGGACCCACCGAAGGGCAGCGACTTGGTCCAGGTACGCCCAGTTCCCGCGGGCGTGCTCATCACCAGTGCTGGAAGGAAAGCAGCAGAGCCACTCCTCAGCAACAGTGACAGCAGCACAGCAGAGGCCACCTCAGCTCTCTGTGTTTGGTGCAAAGTGACCCACAGCCCCACACGGTCACACCTCAGCCCCTGACTCCCTCCGCTCTCTGCTCACTCCTGCTCAGGTAGATCCCTGGCCTTTACTCCACCTGAGTTTTTGCTTTACACAGCAGAGGATGGAAGCAAAGGCTAGAACAAACTTCCTCTCCTGCACCAAATAAGCCCAGCTGTGATCTGATAGCAGGCTGCAATCACCATGCAGATGGAATGTACAGACATTTCTGGGTGCTCTGAAGTCCTGATGTTGGTGAATGATGTACATTTAAACCACTCTAACAGTGGGAAGCTGATATAGAAGTTCAGCACACTTAGCAAACAGAACTACCCATTCTTTAAACATGACAGCAAGTACTTTCTACAAAGTGAAATAGGTGTTCTTACTTGAAGTATCCAAGGAGTCCCAGTCTGTACTGAATTAATACCACCACAACATTCTCATAGGCTGACAGTGCAGAGCCATCATACCGAGCAGCACCACCAAATATAAAATTGCCTCCATGGATCCACACCATTACCTTGGAAACAAAAGGGTGAGACACACCTTTATGCTTGTGCAGCATCACATTTTCAAAAGCAGTTAAGTCTCTTAGGAGCAATCATTACTTGCAAGCTTTATAACACAATTGTTCAGCGGTTTACATACAGGTAACTTGTCCTTCTTGCTTGAGCCAGCAGGGCTGTAAACACTGAGATACAAACAGTCCTCAGACGTTTGGAATGCAATGTGCTTTTCTTTAAAGTTTTTTTCAGCTGTTTTCAACAGGGACAAATCTTGAGGACAGCTTCACAAAAAAAAAAAAAAAAAACCAGCAAAAAAAACAAAACAACAAAGCACAATTATTAGTACTAAACCTGCAACAGCATCAAGTTAACAACAGCAGAGAAAACTTCTTTTGCCCCAGCTGAATCCCCACAAGGTGCTCGAATTCTGTCTCATCTATAATCAGTGAGAGGTGCAGCCTGTAAAAGCACCTGCACACCTAGAAATACTCCTCCAGTACTGGCAGTGTGTCCACCACCAAATATCAACTCCTAGCAGAAGCAGGCCTCTGCACCCCAATAAACACAGCTCTGAGCAGCACGGGCAGGTTCTGCCTACAAACGAACAGCTCTCACAGCGGTGGGTAAGAGGTTGCATCTCTCACACCAGTCCAGGGTTCAGGTGGTTCAGGTGGAGAAAACCTCAAGGATCCAAGAGGGGCTTTTGCAAAAGGAATTCCAAGGAAAACATTTACAAGCTTGTCAGTCCCCTTCACATTTGTCTGTGTTCCTCTGAGCCGTCCGAGCGCAGTAGTCACTTCTGGCTCAGCACTGCTCTGTCCTAAGTAACACAAAAGATTAAAAAAAAAAAATTAAATTGCATCTTCATAATTATCACACAGACTTTTCCATTAAGTACTTTTAACTGATTGTTTAATTTAGAACATTTCAGGTTATTCCTTTCAATTTTGTTCAGTCTTCATTTTGATTTGGTGGAGTGACAAACCCTCCTGCCAGTGTCACCTGGAGCCAGGTAGGGGCAGGATTTTGTCACCGTGCAAGAGCAAATTTCAGAGCAAACAGCAAAACCATTAACATTTCTTGAATTTATAATTCAGCAAGATCTTAAAAATATTTTTTTTCGAGAATTCAGAAATGTTGCTGCTTTCTACCTTTTAAAAAAGACAGAAAGCTTTATTTTCATTCAATCATCTCAAAAAGTTTCATCTCACAAAACCGGTAATTTTTGCATCACGAAGGCATTTTTGCAGATTGGTAGTCAAAGCAGAAGAGATTTACTGCCTTCATAAAAATCACTGGAACTTGGAGCAGTGGCTTCCCCAGCAGCAAGAACAACAACAGGTCGCGGGGCTCACCTTCTGCCCCGCACACGAGGAACGCCACAAAACAAAACAAGGCGCAAAGCGACGCGATGGGGCTCGCAGGAGACATTTTCACCCCGCTCGGGCTCCCGGGGACTCTCTCCGCTTTTATGCGGAACAGAAGAGGACAAAGGTCCCAGCGAGGGCAGCCGGGACACGGAGCGCGGCTGAACTGACCGGCGGCCAGCGCCTCCAGAGCGCCAGATACAAACAGGAGAGTGGTACAGCCCCCGATTATCGACACAGCCCCGATTATCGATACAGCCCCGATCAGCGACACAGCCCCGATTATCGATACAGCCCCGATCAGCGACACAGCCCCGATTATCGATACAGCCCCCGATTATCGACACAGCCCCGATTATCGATACAGCCCCGATCAGCGACACAGCCCCGATCACCGACACAGCCCCGATTATCGACACAGCCCCGATTATCGATACAGCCCCGATCACCGACACAGCCCCGGTTACCGATACAGCCCCGATCACCGACACAGCCCCGGTTATCGATACAGCCCCGATCACCGACACAGCCCCGGCCGCCACCCCCTCGCCTGGGCCGGCGGGGCCCAGCGCCGCCCGCAGTTCATTCACCGGCTGCCAGCGCCACCGGCAGAGAAAACAGGGCAAGTCTGAACAGAATGCAGAGCTTAAATACTATAAAGTTCTTTAAAACCCCCTAAAAACAACAAACATACCAGCAAAACACCACGACAAGCAAAACAAAGCAACAAAAAACCCCTAACCCGCCCGCTCCCCCAACAACGGGGACTAGATTACAAATAACTAGAAAGTAACAATAAACAAAGAAGAAAACCAAATCAAAATACTTAATTCTCGCCTTAATCCTCTTTTAGAGGGATGTATGAAGCCAAAGTATGTCATCGCTACACTCTACCACTCCAATTTAAATTTGTCTGGGGTTCTTCTGTTTGACTTTTCAAAGTAGGGAAGAGATGAGATAAACAATTCCATCGGAGCATCCTTGGCAGCGCCGGGCCCAGCCCGGAGCCCTGGCGGACACTGCGCCGCCCACTCCATTCGCTTCCAGCCTGGCGCTGCGGCCGACCCGGGCTCCGGGGAAGCCCAACAGGCCCCGGGCCCGCCCCGCTCCCGGGCTGCAACCGAGGAGCCGGAGCCGGAGCCGGGGCCGGGGCCGGGGCCGGGGCCGGGGCCGGGGCCGGAGCCGGGGCCGGGGCCGGGTTTGGGGCTGGACCCTGCGTCGGGGCCGGGGCCGGGCTCGGGCTCGGGCCAGGCGGAGCCAAAGGCCGGCGATGCCACCCCAGCCCCAGGCACTGATGCCCGCCCAGCAGCGCCACCGCCAGTACGGCCAGAGCCGGGCGGAGGCCTCCTGCTCCGGGCTCGGCCCGCCCCGCTCCCGCCCCGCTCCCGCCCCGGGCCCGCGGTGCGGCGCCGATCGCGCTCCGGGCTGGTTCCGGTGCCGGTGCCGGTGCCGCCATGGTGGGCCCGGGCCCGGGCGCGGCTCCGCTGGAGAACGCGAACCCGCTCATCTACCGCCGCTCCGGGGAGCGCCCCGTGACCGCCCGCGAGGAGGACGATGAGCTGCCCGACGCCATCGACGACCGGGAGATCTTCGATATCCTGCGGGAGCGGCGGGCAGGGCCGGGCGGGCCGGGCCGGGCGGTGCGGGCGGGCCGGGCCGGGCAGCGCCGCTTTCCTTAACCCGCACATCTCATCCGCTCCATCAATGACCCCGAGCACCCGCTCACCCTGGAGGAGCTGAACGTCGTCGAGCAAATGCGAGTGAAAGTGAGATCGCACCGGGATGGGCTGCTTCAGCCGTCCGATAACTAATATAATAATTAATATAATAATATAATAACTAATGTAATGTAATACACTATTTAAATATAAATAGAATAGTTATCATTTCAATAATTATATAAATAATATAGTTTATAATATTATCTATAATAATATAGTTTATTATGTTATATTTAATAATATAATGATTATTATTGGGGGTTTGGGTGTGAGCAGCTGTGTCCCCGCAGGTGAACGATGCCGAGAGCACGGTGTCGGTGGAGTTCACGCCCACCATCCCGCACTGCAGCATGGCCACCCTCATCGGCCTCTCCATCAAGGTCAAACTGCTCCGCTCTCTGCCCGAGAGGTTCAAGGTGGGGAATCAAAGCAAAAGTGGGGGTTTGTGTTTGGAAAAATTAAAAAAAAAAAAAAAAAAAAAAAAAGAGCTAACCAGCTTGCAGTGGAAAATAACTAGGGCTTTTTTCTTTTTTTTTGGTGTGAGAGACAGTGCGGGAGGCAGAGAGTGAAATACCAGCACACCGTTCTGGGGGTTTGTTGTGGTTCTGGGGCTGTTGTCATGGGCCGGGGGGTTCTGAGGGGAATCCCTGCACTGCTCTGCGGCGCGGCAGGAGGGCAGCTCTCCCCCTTGTCTGGAGCAGGCTTAAGCACGTGCAAATGCAGAATACTCTGCAATTTTAGACTTCTGTTTTATTCTGTTATATAGAGTAACTGACAGTGGCAAGAATGTCCTTTCTCCCTTCTTTTTGTTACTACCTTACTTTTGTTAGTTTGAATTTAATCTGCCAGTGTTTGTTGAACTCATCCCCTGTTTCTTTCGTGCTGCTGTTTCAGCTGGATGTTCATATAACGCCAGGAACACATGCCTCCGAGCATGCAGGTAAGGCTTTTAGTCCTCTCTTGTGTGGTCTTCATATTTGTTTTAATCTTGAAAATTAGCGAGGAGAGAGATTCCCGCAGCTGCAGAGCAGCTGGGACTTTCTGTGCGTCAGATCGCGGGGGGCGTTCCACAACAGGAGCGTGCAGTGTCGCTTAGACTGCGCTGCAGCGTTCTTCAGACATCTCCTCGGGCAGCCTGCGCTCTCAGCCACTCACTGATTGTTTGCCTGAGCACTCGGCAAAGGGGAGGAATTGGGGATTTCTTGTGTCACACCTGTGCAGCAGCTCCTGCACGGCTGCTGTGCACGGGGCTCTGCCCTGGCATCCCCACTCCTGCAGCACCTTGGCAGCAGGGCCGGTGCGCCCGGCGTGAGCACACGAGTGCCGCTGTGCTGATGGTTTCTTGTGGGGTTTTTGCTGCAGTCAATAAACAGCTCGCTGATAAGGAACGTGTGGCAGCTGCTTTGGAAAACTCTCACCTGCTGGAAGTGGTGAATCAGTGTTTGTCTGCTCGGTCATGATTGCCTGGTGAGGAAATCATTGGTGTTCTGATCTACTAAACTGATTTTGTATATAAGTGCTGATGTTATAATTTACATAAAACTGTGAGCAAAATAAAATCACTTAAATTCTCTTGAGGAAATGTTTCTTTGCTTTTTAAAAAAATACTGTGTGGGGAGTCAGCTTACAGACAGCTACAAAAACATAATAAAAATTGGCTTTTTAATTGTATGAGTCATTGCACAGGTACAATTTTCCATTAAAAATATTTTTTTCAACCCGTTTTTAACTGGTTTCTCACTACTAAAAATAAGTTGTAAGCTTCGTTTTAGAAGTGGATTTTGCGCACTGGACTTCACAAGTACACCAAGGTAACTTTTAGTTAAAATCTTTACATTCCTGTGACAGTTTCAGACTTTCAGACATCACACGTTGTACAAGCTGGTGTGTGCAGAGCTGGAGGACATTTAGCAGTAAGTGTCCACACTTCCAAATCACGTGTCTGGTTTTAATTAGCTTAGCTTAAAGCCAGATGTGGAAGGCTCTTTATACCTGTGTAAAACATGATTTATTTTTAATTACTACTTAATTGTGGTAGGAAATACAGTATATTTGAAGGAGATTTTATTTGTGCACCTGCAATACAGGAGTCATTACCAGTTTTCAGTATGCACAGCCCAGCAGGCTCTGCTGAAAGACTGTCTTGGCAGTGTTTGACAGCTAAAGGACAAGTTTTGCTCTAAATGCCTTGAGATTTAATGCTAAAACCCAGTCTATGCTTCTGGTTTGGGAGCAGGCATTCACTAAACTGCTGTCTTTGGGAGACTTTGGCAATAGAAGAACTCATTAAGAATTAATTTGAACTTTTCTAAAGGATGTTTCTAGTCCTGGACCACATGGAAAAAAACCAACCTGCTGAGAAATCCTGGTGGGTGTTTTGGTAGGTGTACCCATTACAATGTTGCCTTCTCTGCCATCAGTTATCTGGCAAACAAGAAATACACCTTCTAAAAATGTAGGTTGTGCTCAGCAGTTTGATGGCAGTGCTTTGTGCTCCAGTAGCATTTTCCCTGGGAGGGTCTCAGATGCTGCTTGAAGAGGGTGGACATTGTGTAAAGCTTATGGACATTGTGTAAAGCTCAGCCTGGCAGTCCAGTCCAGTGCTCCAAGTGTGACATCCAAAGTCACACAGCAAAGCAGGAGAGGAACAAAGCCAGACCTTGCCGTGTCAGAGCTGAGCCTCCCTCTGCACAGGGCTGCAGAAAGGCAATTCTGCAGCAGCTCAGCCTGCTCATTTGGCTCAGCAGCCTTTGCATGGGCAGCACTGCTGGGATGTATGAATGAAACTGCAAATAAAGACACTATTTATGTAATATTAATATTGGGAAAGGAACAGAATGACCCAGCTTTGCTCCGCCTCTCTTGCTGAATCACTGAACTGATTAGTTCTGACATTGCCAGCATTTGCAGCACAGATGAAACTCCAGCCATGGTAATGCATGCAGGCAGCTCCTGGGCACACTTGGGTGGTTGGATTTTGTTTTCTGGTTTTTGGTGGCTTTTTAAAAAGCAAATAAATTTTGCCCCCAGATTTTGGAGAAGAAAGAAATGCAAGTAAGTGCCAGGGGGAAAACAGGAGGATGACTAAGCTGCAACAGATTGCTTCAACCTGCACTCCAAACAGAGAAGGGATCAGTAATGGTGCTGTGCTGAAGCTCTCTGCTTGGCTTTCACCACTACATAATACTAGTGTTAAATAATTTATTGGGATGTTGGCACTTGCCTCATGAAGCACACTGTGCACAGCAGCCCTGGGGATGCACTTTGGACCGTTTGCCTTCTCAGAGAAGCAACAGAATGTGTTTGATGGTTCACATTTATAGTTAATAGTTGGGGGATGACTTTTCAGTTAGGGAGATCTGCAGAGGGTTTTCAAAGCAGAAGTCTGACTTTTGGTATTTAGGGATGGAGAATCTGGCTACTTTAGATCTGGTGTGTTTGTTTAAATGATGTGGGTGCTGTATTTATCACAGAACCAACGACAGTGGCTTTGCTGAAGGCCCCAGGCCCTCCTGTCCAGGCTCCTTCAGCTCTGGACTTGCTGATAATGTACCACCAGTTCAGGTGAAAACCTTCCATCCTGCTCTTGAAGATCATTAGCTGGTTCCTGTTGTACGGAGACAAAGTAAGAGAAGAAAACAGTAATTTGTTAGAAATATTTCTTTTCAGATGTTTATTATTCCAAAACTCCACCCCTAAATTTAGCCTCTGGAATGCTTTGTAATAAGACATATTCCATGAGAAACTATGACCCTTTGGAGCAGCTGTGTTGAATACAAACAGCCTCATTCAAGTCCAGGAAAAATGCCAGGAGCAGACATCTGCTTTGCATTCCTGAGCTCTGGGCAGTGTCTTCCAGGGCAGCTGGATGGCATTCCCCACTCCCAGTGTGCAGGCAGGAGCTGCCATGGCAGCTGGATGGCATTCCCCACTCAGGGCATGCTCCCAGGGCAGCTGGATGGCATTCCCCATTCCCAGTGTGCTTCTCCTGGTGTGCTCCCAGGGCAGCTGGATGGCATTCCCCACTCCCAGTGTGCAGGCAGGAGCTGCCATGGCAGCTGG